ACAGTTCATACCCTTTGTGTGGTAAGTTTTTTGGAACAATTTCGCATCTTCTTTTCAATTGCGAAGAGGTGTGGAATATTTGGACGAAATGCATAACATTTTGGAGATTAAATCTGATTTTTTCAGATTCCTGGAGTTCTTTCCTTTAAGCTTGGCATGAGGTTCAACTAGAAATATTCTAATTTTCTGACACATTATCCCATTTGATGTGCTATGGATTGTGTGAGCTTTCAGAAATGGGATAGATTTGATAAAAAAAAGTATTAGATTCTGCCCAACTGTTCTTCTTATCTAAATCCAGGCTTCCAATCTGGTTTAAAGTTATTTACCCTTCTCTGGAGATCTCGCGAGACGATATAATCGACGATCCTTCCATGACAGACAGTGAAAAGATGTAGAATTCTACATAAGGCCTCGCTGGCTTGGCAAGCACCGCCAAATGGTTTTCTCAAGCTTAATGTTGATGGAGCTGTCTGTAGAGATGGCTTGGCGGGTGGAATCTTAAGGAACAGTGATAGTGTTTGCTTGGCGTCGTTCTCGAATCAGATTGGGAGGGGTCCTATCCTCTCCTAGCTTGTAGAGTTGCAGAAAGGGCTTGAATTTTATCTCACCCATCATAGGAGGCACAATGTGAGATTTAGGGTATGTTTGGTTCACGGAATGTAAGATTATCAGTGTGAATAAAAGATTACCCGTGAGAATAAAAGATTATCAGAGAATAGAATTACTGGGAATGTTGTATTTTGTGTTTGGTTGGTTTAGCATGAATGTAAGATTACCGTGTTTGGTTGGTTTAGCAGGAATGTAAAATTATTGTGTTTGGTTAAAGAAATAAAAGATTATTAGAATGTATATTTAATCAAATTATCCTTATTATATATTTGTTTTTTTAACAAGTTAGAAAATATTTATATATTATTTTTTTAAAAAAATTAAATTTATATAATTTTTTTTACAAAATTAAAAATATAAAAAGGTTTAATGAAAGGGTAAAATTTTATTTTAACCCCTAAACTTTATATAAAATTTTAATTATAGATTTTTTTATAAATCTAAAATAGTTTAAGGATAAATTTATAATTTAACCTTCATATAATTTTTATTATTCAATGACAGAATAATGATATTTTTTAAAGAAAAAAAATTTAAGGGTATTTTAGTCCAAAACGCTGGTAATCTAACAATACCTAAGGAAATAGAGGTAATAACATTCCCGGTAATATACCTCAAAAAATTCACTATTGATAATGTAAGATTACCGAGAATGACATTCTCGACCAACCAAACGGGGAAATGTGGATTCTATTCCCATGAGAATCTCACATTCCCCCAACCAAACACACCCTTATAAAGCGACAGTAAGTCAACAGTTGTACTTTGGGCTTTGACTAGTTGATTAAATTAGACTGCCTTATTTTTTAATAATATTTATGGGCACCCTTCCTCTCTCGGTAGTTATATTTTGCTAAAATTCTGATATGGAGGGGGTTTTACTGAGGTCCCTACTTTTATAAAAAAAATCATATAGTTTGATATAAAGATTTTATTAATATAAAATGTGATTAGCATATATCGATTGTTTATAATTAAATTGAAACATTTATAAGTATGATAATCAATTTAAAACAAGGCTTATAATTAATGAATGAAATTAGAATGTTAAAAAGAAATTGAGATCTAATTTAGAACAATAATCACAACTTGGAGATAAATTTGGAGTATTTAAAAATTATAATGAAAATTATAATTTAAAAAATATATATGATCCAATTTATTTTGTATAATATGACTTAATATCACAAATAAGTATCTAGAGTATACATTCTTTTTCATTTAAGCACCTAAAGTGTTTTTCAGTCAAAATAAGAATATAAAGTTATTTTTTGGTCAAAATAAGTGACTAAAATATTTTATATCAAAATAGGTACCTAAACTATTCAATCATTTTCATTTATGTTCTAAAAATGTTGAAATGTAGCATTAATTAAATAATACTTTAAGTACTTAGATGAAAAATACATATTGTCGGAACGGTCCTTAAGCTTTTGGGGCTAGAATGGGATCATTCCAACTTAATTTTAAAAAACAAATTTAGAGTCGCTATCGACTTTTGGTTAGGTATGTTGAATACATAAAAATTTCATCTAAGATAATCTTAAGGTGTCGATTACGTGTGTGGAAGAATGAGCATTCTCATAACGCTAAAAATTGATACCAAATTGATTATATGTCGTCTTTATGTTTGAGAATTGTAAATTTAAGATGATATTTAAGTTATCATCCCTTTTTTAGAAAAGATAAAAAAATAAGTTATTTTATACCAACAATTTTCGAAAACGCGCTTCCTTATATTCGGGAGAGCTTTCCATAGATTCCTCATATAAAAGATTATTGTCCTAATTAAAATTTTACTCGAATAAACAATATCATTTTGTACGAACAATTTCTTGAAGACACTTTCTTTGTCAGTTAATGTGTACCTCCATAAGTTACTCACACAAAATAATATCGAAAAATAAATTTTACAGATGAGCCTAACAAAATATTTTTTTTTGGATAATTAAGATTTTATTACCCAAAATAACAGTAAACTGCTACAAAACAATCCAATCAATGGAACAAAAAGGGGAATTATATATAACAAAAATTAGACTATACCCCAATGATTACGAAGAGCTATGTAAATATAAACATGATGGACAAAGAAATCAATATAAAAATAAATACAAAAATGAAATAAATAAAAGTATACTGCTCACAAAATATACACATATTATGCTTTAATCCAAAACAGAAAACAGTGTACAAATATGCGTATATAATACTTTATAAATTGAAAGAAGGAAAGTTAAACAAAGTTGCACATATGCATGTGAAATGAATAAAGCATTAATGTGTATAAATATATATGCTATTAATGCGCTAAACATGTTACCATATATATATACATATATATACATGAACCTATATTCAGAGCAAATTACCAACATAAGAAATGGAACTTACTGTATGCGCATATACTTATTATATTTTAAAAAAACGATACATGGCAATACATAAATGACATTAATGCAAATATGTACATACGGAAAACCAAAGTTGCAAATTATAGCAACTAAATAGGCATAAATGCAAATTTAGCTCAGAATTAAAATAAAAACGTAAACAATAGGAAGTATAGATACTGAAATCACAAATAATCCATAAATACTAGAGAGGACTAAAATGAAATCATTCAAAATTATATATCAAATGTAAAACAAAAATAAAACAAATAAATAAGTACATAGGACTAAAATATAATTCAGAACCTTACAATTAATGAGGGACCTCTTGCGCAATTAACCTATACTCTAAAAACATGTTTTCATTCACACGCATAAAACAAAATAGGTTAAAGAACCCTTACCCCGCCGCTTCACTCTCTTCTTCTTCACTCTTTCTTATTCTCTCTTTTAACCCAAATCTATGGCCCCTTTTAAAAAAAATCGAACCTAGATCTAGAAGTTACCTCAGGCGAGGATCGAAATTTCCGGCGACCAACGACAAAGGTGAGTTCTCCTCTTTCTTCTTCTTTTTTCGTTCTGTTCTTTTTCATTTTCTTTTTTTGCTCTGATTTTGATGGTTTTTCTTATCCTCCCTTTTTTTTGTTGCTGCATGCTTGTATATATAATGATGGTGGCGTCCTTGAGATGAGTGTTTGGTGAGGCAAATGTATGGGTTCTGCAGGCCATGGCAGAGGGTAGATGGAGGAAAATGGTGGTTATGTTTGGATTGATTGATATTTTTAGTTTGATTTTTTTTTCTGATTTGATATTGTTGATGCGAGATGATGATGATGATGGGGTAGTTGGATCGGCTGCAGGATCGACTTTCTAGTGATGACGATGACCGGAACTCAAACGGGTGACGGGGCGGCACTTGGAGGCTAAGCAGCTAGGGTTTCAGAAAACCCTAAAATGTGCTGGCTAGTGGGCCTTAATTCTTTTGGGCCGGTTTGTATTTTGGGCTCGGTATGGGCTTTGTAAGCTGGATCTGTAATAAAAAGTAATTATATTAATAATATTATAAATTTATTATATAAATATAATAATGATAATAAAATAATAAAAAAAATGCAAGTACGAAAACGGGCGTCTATACCTATTTTGATGAAATAATACTTCATACACCTATTTTGATTAAATAATTTTAGGTACTTATTTTGATTAAAAAATATTTTAGGTACTTACATAGACTGGTCTCAGACTGTCAATTCTGTCAAGGTGTCTTTCACGTTCTATTCAGTTAAACTTGGTTTTTTTGGTTGATTCAAAATCATCCATTTTTTTTTGGTTTGAATATGCATGTACTCAGTAATCAAATAAAAAATATTAAAATTTTGAATTCCGTCCATGAATCAAATATTTTTTTTATTTAAAGTACAACCATATATATGAAACTGGCTGCCTGACCCTTTAGGCAGCAACAGTGGCCCACGACGTTTACACAAAAACAGTGAAGGGATGGGGACGGTAAGAAAAAGCTGCGATCAAGAAGAGATGAGTCTATTACGAGTATCCAATCATGGGCCTCTACTTTTCTGGTTCCTCGATAATCTTTCGTCTTTTCTTCCCTTTTAACCTTTTATTGTTGTAAGGGATTCATTTATTTATGCGTTTTTATTTGGAATAATTAATTGTTTTTTTAAATATAGTATTCAATACTATATTATATTTCTATTTTAATTATCTGTTATTAAAATTTAACGATATTTTGGACATACCGTGCAACAAAATGCTTCTGTTACTACAGAACTTCTGCAAGTGCAATAGACACTGCCTGTTGATGGATGACCGTGTCTAAACACAGATGATGCTCCCTCGCTCTATAGTAAAGCGAATGTAGCGGTAGATTTTATCGTAAAGAGGGTGCCCTCCTGATGGAATTATAGGATTTGGGAACTGGGTAGTAACTCAATTATTAGGAATGATATCTTTGTTGGCAGTTGCATAAAGAAAAGCAAAGGAAAATGATGATTGATGATTTTGTTTACTTTCCTCCAATGGACTGCGGGACTTTCCCCCCCTCATTTACAGCACAAGCCAAAAAAGAGAAATAAAAAGAACTTTCATTTACGACCTAATCATTCCCACATGCCCCAAGATTTTGGTGTCACCGTTTGCTTTAGGCCATGTCGTATCTCTTTTTCAGCTCCAAATGTTCATTTCTCCCCCTCTTTTAAGACACCCAACTTTGTCTTTTGCATTATTTCAACTTGCATTATGTTACATACATGTCGCATTTTTGGCTTCTCCTACTAGTTCCATTGTTCCGGGTAACACCACTCAAGACTCGGACCTTGCTCATCGAAGAAGAAATTGCAAGCTTCATCTGTACTAAAGAAATTGTGCTCTTCCAACTTCACAAGATAGGTCGTTTTCGGTAACTCCAAACAGTTCATCGAGGATGGTGAAGAAATAACAGCGTGGTGGTAGTTGGCGGTGGTGTCCTTTTCGTTCAAGATAGCGCTCGAGTCACTATCCGATGACCCATCTTTCAATTCTGGCAAAAGGATGGCATCAATGGATAAACTGTTGTGAATCAGTTCTACTGGCTCTGATGAATTAGCCGAAGAAGAAACTGGAAGTTGCTCTCTTTCTTCAGTTTCGGGCACAATCATCTCCCCTTTCACTGAAAGATTGGCTTTCAGCTCACCTATCTGCAATAATTGGACATTTTTTAGAATCACAATTACAAGAGACTGATACTTTATTGGCACATTGACCAGCTTGTTTTTATTACCACTTCGCGAAGAGCTTCATTGTCGTGTTCGAGGGTATCGAAACTGAGCTTGAGAGTTTCGTAGCTGGTTTTGAGAAAGCCATAATCACTTTCCAATTGCTTGGTCTTCCACCTGGCACGGCGGTTTTGGAACCAGACAGCGACTTGTCTAGGTTCCAAGCCGAGCTCCTGAGCTAGTTTCACTTTCCTGTTGGGTTCGAGCTTGTTTTCGACCGCGAAATTCTTCTCCAAGGCCTTGACTTGATCGACGCTTAATCGCCTCTTCTTCTCGGCAACATGGCCTTCTTCGTCTAATCCATCTAACATCGACTGAAACTCTATACTGTAAACATGGTTGTTTGTTGGACTCAATTCAGCTGTGCCAGAAGAAAACAAATAGCCGATTATGATACTAAAACAGAGTATTGAATTATAAGTGAAAGTTAATTGAAATTGGGACTGTATTATTCCACCTGTGGTTGGGCAGATGGACATCAAAGCACCCAATGAATCTGAGCTTCCAAGTGATCTCTTCATGGTTGATGAACTCAAAACATTTCTGAAAATAGTACAGATTTCTTTCTTCTTGGTGTCTTAAAAACCTTTAGTTTTTGTGTTCATTTCCTAATAACTTTTATTCTCTAACTGTTCCATCCTCTCAGTTTCCATTGAAAAAGAAAGCAAGAAGACCAAAACTACATCGAAAACACCCAACAAGACAAGCTTCCAAGAAAAACAATATATATATATATATATATATATATATATATATATATGTAAGAACAGAACACCCTTCCCAAAAAATCCCAGACTTCCAAGAGAACTTAGAAATTTATCTTCTTTTTTTACAGCATTATTCGATCAAAATCAAATTGCAGTGGTGTTAGAATGTGAGGAAGTGGAGGAGTATACAGAAGTGAGAACAAAACTGGGAGCTGGACTAGTTTCTCTATCTTTAAATAAATAAATGCTAATTAACTTAAGATGGGTCAGATTGGGGTTAGAATCTGACCGCGGTTAGGTACACTGAGCATTGAAAGGTTTGCAAATGCAAATGAACCCAAAATGTAGTTCAAATGCAACTTCTAAGCTTTACTCGTTATTGCTGGTTTTCGACCGTTTTCTATATAATGCTAAATTTAGTTCTCCAACATTTATTTAAATAAATATTTTTATTTTTATTTTTTTAATATTTTTATTTTTTATTAAAATGACATCTATTAAATAAAAATTATTAATTGACTAACGATCAACACATATTATTGGCATAACATTTTTACATATATTGTGATGTATATGTCATTTTATCTAAAATATTGATGTAACATATATCACATCATCTAAAATAATGACGATCCTTACTAAACAAATCAAACTACAACCTATAATTTTTATCTTCATAAGACAAAACATTAACTATTAAATCTTTTTAGAATTGCATAAAATACAATAAGAGTTTATTGAGTAGTCTTAGTGATTAAAGAGGGTGTTGTTTTTCTTTAAGGTCTTGTGTTCAAATAATTGCATCTGTATGTGTATTGTTAATAGTTTAAAAAATTTATGAACAGACAATATCTTGTAATCACTTTGTCGACACTATTTTTCACCCAGGTAGAAAAAAAACTAATACGACTTGGGAAAATTGAGGTTTTCTTTGAAAAGGTTTTGATGAAATGTTAGGAGTCGCCACCAATCATTTTAAAGTGCGATTGAAATACTTAAAATCGAGTAATTTTAATAAAATATTTTATTTTATCAAAAATATAAAATTTTGTCTGCAAAAATTAAAAATTAGGTTTGGGAGTCAATTAAGTGTAGAGAAGGGTTAACACCCTACAACGCCCTAAAATTAGTACCTAATCGATTACCCTATATTTAAAAAATTAAAAATTTTGAGTTTAAGATTTTATTTAATTTAAAACCCACTATAGATGCAAATTTGGAAGAGGACATCAGTTTATCAAGAACAATAATAACCACCCTCAATCATTTACGCAAAAACTTTTTTATTAATCTCAATAAATGAACATTGCCTCGATAATTAAGATATCATGATGAGGGATTTTTAAAAGGATGCTTCGACGAGCACATCATAGTGTTAATTTCTTAAAAACTTAAAATTATGTAGTTTTTCTTTTCAGCCCACTCTCTTCTTTTGAACTCTCTTTCATTTTTCACACTTGTTCTCTTTTTCAAACTAAACTTTCCGACTGCATTCCCATGATGTTTGAAAACTGACAGAAAATCCAAAACAAAGTGTCTGGCCAGATTTGTCGTTGCACCTTTTAATTCATAATTGAATATAAATTTGTTACGCAGGGACATATCCAAACGAAGGTCTATAGATGTTATGGCCCACCAATTCCCAAAAAAAGTAAATTATTTATTCAGTCACTCATGAATTATCTAATTTCTATTTTAGTTACATAACTATTATTTATTTTAAATCACACTTAATTTACGTTTTGGTTATATTTTGGTCACTCGTCTTTAAAAATTTAGCAGTGATGTTGACGTACCATCATAAGATAATGTCATATCATAATTGAAAAATAATTAAAAAATTTAATTAATATCATTATTTTTTTAATAGTGAGTGATCAAAATAGAGCAACAAATGCAATGTTAGCCATGATTTTGAGAAAATAATAGTTGAGTGACCAAAACATAAATTAAGTAATAAGTGGGTGACCAGATAATTAGTTTACCATAATAAAAAAATGTATGAACTATGTTAAGAAAATTATATTAATCCATTTAATATAATTTTTCTAGATTTAATCCATATATATATATATATATTGTTATGAACATATTATGTGGATGTCATTATTACTCTTATTAGTTAATGTGGCTTTTAGCATTCTTTAATTAATTGAGAATATAAAATGTCAAAGGATTTAACTCTTCACATGTATCATAATTATTAAAGAGCATTCATCACCCATATATATATATAGAGAAAATCGTCTCAGTGACCAAAAAAAAGTTATAATATACGATTTTAACCAACTTTTTTTGGATTTGCCAAAATGACCAACAAAATCGCAACGCGAAATAAAAATCGCAACGCGATCCCCAGAATCGCAAATCAGTTTCCAAAATCGCAACGCGATTCTTGAAAATCGCAATGCGATAGTACAAATTCGCATTGCGATTTTCCAAAATCGCAACGCGAATATGAAAATCGCAACGCGAACACATAAATCGCAACGCGTATCCGTAAATCGCAACGTGTATCCGTATATCGCAACGCATATCCGTAAATCGCAATGCGTATCCGTATATCGCAACGCGTATCCGTAAATCGCAACGAGAATCTGTAAATCGCAACGATAATCCGTAAATCGCAACGAGAATCTGTAAATCGCAACGATAATCCGTAAATCGCAACGAGAATCTGTAAATCACAACACTGAAATTTTGGGTATATAACACTGAAATCATAAACTAAATCCCTAAATCGCAACTCATTCCATCTCCATCTATCACTCTCTCCGGCGACATCCGTTCCTATATCCAACGACATCCTTCCCAATCCGGCAACAGGTTTTAGTTTCGCAGCTCGTCTGTTTAGTAAATTAATTTACAACCATGAAATCATCTAATGTTGATCATGTTTGGATAGGTTTGTGTTTTGGAGGGTCATGGGATAATGTTCATGGTGTTTTACAATATATGCCTTTACCCATGAATCTTCAACTAAAATTGTCTTTACAAAAGTTAACTTATGAAACTCTAATGCTACGTGTTTCAAATAAATTGAATTTAGAGCCCCTAAGTGGATTTAGGCTATCTTATCAGAGAAATGGTAAAGTTTATTTGTTAACCGACAATGAAGATGTTGAACGATTCATTGCTTACATTAGTGTTTCACAAGATGATGTTACATTGTATGTTGTTGAACCTAGAAGTAGTATTGTTGGGTCAGTAGCGGGTAGTAATCAACTAAGTTTTTCTCAAAACCCACAACCTTTCTCTAATCCAAATCCCAATCAACTTTCAGCACCAAATTCCGGTTTTCGTATTGACCAGTTAGACGATGATGAGCCAACAGAAAAAATTGTGAGTACTAGTAAGTATTCGAAATTTGGTCTTGGTCAATATCCGGACTTTGATATTGGTCAATACACGGATTTTGATGATGTTTCAGAAGAAGAAACAGACCCTGCGTGTAATGATTTGATATTGGTCAATACCCGAATTTTGATGATGAAACAGCCGTTGCCGAAGAATGTATTGTTGATGATAATGAGGAGGAAGTTACGACTGTGAATGAACATGTTGAACATCCATTCTGTAATTCATATAATCCTGAAGAAAAAAAGAAGAAAAAAATCCCCGAAGAAAAGAAAATGCCACGGGCGTATAACTGGAATATGCCAGAATTACTTCAGATACCGGAAGAACAGTTGGTAAAGAAAGCAGTTGATTGTTACACAAAAGTTATTCGTATCAAGAAAGATGATTGTTTTGATACAAAGGAAGACTTGAAGATAGCTTTGTATACGAAATGTGTGGAAGATGGCTATCAACTAAAAGTTAACAAATAAAGCAAAGATCGTTTCGAAACAAGGTGTATGATTGACAAAAACTGTATGTGGCGAATGATTGCAAAGAGAATAAAAGATTGCGAAATGTTTCAAGTTAGGACTTTTATTGATAAACATACATGTTCAAGAACCCAAGTTTTTCCTCACCATAGACAGGCAAACAAAAAGGTGTTGGGTGGTTTTCTGGCTGAGTTAATGTTTTTGAATGGCAGGGTATATCGGGGACATGAAATTATGACTGACATGAATGCTCGGTTCAAGATTAGTATATCATATTCTCAAGCTTGGAGAGCCAAATGTTATGCCTTGGAATTGTTGAGGGGGTCGCCAGAAGCATCGTTTGCCCAACTGCCGGCTTATTGTCACAATTTAAAGCTGAAAAATCCTGGGTCGGTAACTCATATCAAAACAGATAGAGATGGACGCTTTGAGTTGTTGTTTATCGCCATTGGTGCTACGGTTAGTAAATCAATATAATTTTGTTGACTCATTTTTGTTAGTTACATGCATTTCACATTTAAATGATTATATTTCTTGTGTATATTATTTTGTAGATTCGTTCGTTTATTACTTGCATGCGCCCAATTATTATAGTTGACGGAGCACATTTGAAAGGTCGATACCTTGGAGTAAACTTATTAGCAGTAGCCATGGATGCTAACAATGGGATATTGCCAATAGCTTACGGGGTTGGCAAATCTGAAACCTCTGATTCATGGACATGGTTTATGGGGCATCTTAGGGATTGCATAGGTCCTATTAGCAATCTGACAATCATATCCGATAGGGCAAACTCAATTGACAACGCTGTTAGAAGGTGTTTCCCAGATGCTTTTCATGGACTTTGTGGTGTTCATTTGTATAGAAATCTAAAATCAAGGTCTGCTGGTATAAAAAAGCACAAATGGACATACTGGAAGGCTGTAAAAGCTTATCGGGAAGTGGATTTCAATAAGCATATAATTGTTTAAGACGTGTTTTGCCTCAGTGTGCTCAAACACTAGAAGATGTCGGGTTTGAAAGATGGTCAAGAGTACATCAACTTGGAGCAAGATATGGTTTCATGACGTCTAATAGTGCAGAATCAATCAACGCTCTAAGTCGTCATTCCCGGAAATTACCCATTACTATGTTAATGGAGTTTTTTCGAGCCTCTAT